TCATGATTCACTACTTCCACTCATCTATGATGAAAATAAATCAATTTTATCATTTCTTAATTTATATCACTTTAAAATTTTTATAATTACAAGTTTTTAATTTTTCACTCATCAAAATATTTTTTACAAAATTTATAAATTATTATTAAGATTCAGTCGTCCAGACAACTTTAATTTCAGTCGTCCAGACGACCGAAAACTAGATCAGTCTGACTCAGATAACTTACAGGGGCTAAATTTGTAAAAATGTCTTCTGTTTTTTTCTTTGGTCACAAAGGACTATACTGTAATTTCATAGCCCTTTTAGGTTAGATTTGCATTTGATTCAAGTTTGGGTCTAGTATTGGGGTTTAAATCAAGTTGTAGGTTAGTTTTGGCAAAAACCCCAAAAAAGTAATTGTTAATCTATCAAAAAAATTGTGATAAGATCAATAGTAACTTAAAGATTTTAGTTATGATAGAAAGGAAAGGAAAAAAAAAATCAATAGAATAGTAAATAGAAGCTTATTGTTTTGAAAGTCACATTTATAAGGTTTAGAAAATAAATAAAAGAGGAAAAAATAAGATAAATGGCTTTTACAAATTTAGAATGATTACAGTTTTAAAAGATCTGATTGGTAAAAGCGCTGTCGTCTAATCCGATAAGTCTTGACAGCACTAATGCATATCGGGGCGCAACTTCCGTAACTACATCCAAAAATACTCTCGACCTATATAAACCATTACACAAATCTTTCAAACCACAAATCTCATTATCACAAATCACAAAACTCATAGAAATTAAATCTAATGGCGTCTCAAGAAACCACAACCAATCAAAGAGAAGGAGCTGAGATCGTCAACGGCGCATCAATGTGCAAGCAAAAAGCAAACGAGATGTTATCATCCATGAACCTACCTAAAGGACTTTTACCTCTAGACAACATGACAGAGGTCGGTTACAACAAATCAACAGGTTATATATGGATCAAGATGAACAACAGTGTTCAGCATCAGTTTAAAGCCATCGGCAAAAACGTATCGTATGATGCGGAGGTCAGTGCGATCGTTGAGAACCGTCGGATGCGTAGTCTCACGGGAATCAAGAGTAAAGAGCTTTTCATTTGGGTCACGATCACTGAGATTTATATTGATGAACAAGATACCACGAAAATCACCTTTGCGGGTCGCTCGGGATTGTCACGTTCTTTTCCCGTATCTGCGTTTGAGGAAGAGGAGAAGTGATTTATCAACGGTCTTAAAACTTTGCTTTATAAGCTATATATATATATATATAGCTATGTATTGTGTCCCTACTTATTATTTATCTGCATCTTTCCGATCAGAATACATAAAAATATAATGTTATGGAAAGCTGTTTATCAATAATATAATTATTTATGTTCAAAAAAATAATAGAATTATTTTCTATTTTGAAACTTCAGTTCATTACTTTTGCATAATAGAATTAAAGTGTGTGTTTGGTGTTTTACTAAAAAAAAAAAATTTGTGTGCCTATTTATTTCTGGATTTATTTGTGAGAATGTATATCATATTATCTATCATCGTCGCTTTTTTCACTCCAGCTGGTCTGGATAGAATCATAGAACCACTGGAAACTTATGCTTTCAGCTTTGTAGAAAATAAGTAATAATATTTTATCTGTTAGATAAGTAATGTATTAAGGTTTCTGCACACGGGGTCAAGGAATTACTCGTTCTGTTAATTTAACAATAACCCGATTTCAGAAAGAAACAACTCTTATCTGAAAGAACATTTAAATATCCATGCCTAACTTATTTTTAAACAAATAAAAAAATATTTGCTAACCATTTTGCATTCTTATCGCAAATTGAGTAATTTTATTCAAATTTTTCGAATTATTACGGTTGACATGTAATTTAAGATTGTCTAATTATTATGGTAAATGCATTTAATAAATTAGTTAAACAGGTGAAAAATGTAAAAGATATAATAAATATTTTAAAATATGTAAAGTCTGTTTTGTACTTCTTTAATAAATACTGTCAAATTATTTAGAAAAAAAAACAATAAACAACCTGGTTAGAATCAATTAAAATCTGTATAACACACTTTAAGATAAGTATATATTGTTTTGTATTTCAGTTTTAATATAATATATTATAAGAATGTAAATATCTAATTCAATGCTATTAAATTATCTTCTAAAAATGTTAGGTTCTGGTCAGCATAAAAAGTTATTTCTTTTTTACAATATATTAATATTTGGTGTGGTTATATTGGATAAGTTAGTTTGAAATACCGGTTTATGTTGATCCGGTTATTATTGGTTTAGTTTCCTTTAGCTTAAACCAATGTATATATATAGAATCGGTTGTAACAACCTAACGACTGAGAAAGTGAATATACATTTTTTCTTTCATCTTCTTCCTTGTGAAGCTTTTCTTCTTGAGTTCGGATCTTGAGTTTTCTCATTGAATCAACCTTAATATGGTATCAGAGCTTCTCTTTTGAGCTTCCGCTTCGATTCAATCTCTCATGAGCTATCCGATTTCACGTTTTTCGAGCTTCGCAAGTTTCTTTCTCATGGTGATTCTGGATTTTCTCACGGAATTGATCTTTTGTTACTATTTTTTTGTTCTTCATCTTTCTCGTTAATCGATTTCTCGATTTCGTTTCTCTCGACATTCGATTCTTACATCTCTCTTTCATCATGAGTACTCACACTTCTTCACCATCATCGGCGTCACCACATCATCCCACCGATCATTATGCGAATCCTTATCATCTTCATCATAACGATCACGCTGGGATTGTTCTTGTTACGGATCGATTGACGACGGCTTCCGATTTTCACTCTTGGCGTAGATCTATGCGAATGGCTTTGAATGTGCGTAACAAACTGGGATTCATCGATGGTACGATTCCTAAACCTTCACCTAGTCATCAAGATTTTGGCTCATGGTCACGATGTAACGATATCGTTGCCACTTGGTTGATGAACTCTGTTTCTAAGAAGATAGGCCAAAGTTTGTTATTCATTCCGACTGCAGAAGGGATTTGGAATAATCTGTTAGCTAGGTTTAAGCAAGATGATGCGCCTAGGATTTATGATATTGAACAACGTCTGAGTAAAATTGAGCAGGGATCTATGGATGTTACGACCTATTACACTGAGTTGGTAACTTTGTGGGAGGAGCATAGAAATTATGTGGAATTGCCTGTGTGTACTTGTGGCAAGTGTGAGTGTGCTGCAGCTGGTTTATGGGAAAAGTTACAGCATAGAAGTCGTGTGACTAAGTTCTTAATGAGGTTGAATGAATCCTTTGAGCATACTAGGCGTTACATTTTGATGCTTAAGCCAATTCCAACAATTGAAGAAGCGTTCAACATTGTTACACAAGATGAGAGGCAGAAGACTTTGAAACCTTCTTCAGTTGTTGATCAGGTGGCTTTTCAAGCTACAACGTATGTTCCTCAGGATCTTACCTCTGCTCAGCTGATGACTAATGAAGCGTTCATTGCTGCTTATAACAATTTCAAGAATTCTCAGAAACCAGTCTGTACTCATTGTGGAAAGCTTGGTCATACCATTCAGAAATGCTTCATGGCTTTCCACCGGGTTACAAGACCAATTCTTCTTATAAGTCCCGGAAACAACAAGCTCCTACTCCAGCTAAGATGTTACCTCAGGCTCAAGTTCCTACTCAGACGGCTAATGCAATAGCTAATGTTTACTCTGATCCTGCTGTGTCTGGTTCGATTACTGCAGTTCCATCGGTTACAAGTGGTGGTACTACACTTACACTACAGAACTTCTCTCCCCAGCAGATACAGAATCTGATTTCTCAATTCAACACACATGTTCGAGCTCCAGAGCATTCGACTCCTTTCTCTACAGCTTCCACGTCTGCATCTATCACTACAGATGGTTTCATGGCACCTCAATCTACTTCTGGTATCTTTCCCTTTCCATCTACTAGCCTTACATATACTGACAATACCCTTAAATTCAAAAACCATTGCCTTTCCGTTCTACCTTCTTTTATCTCTCATAGTGATTGGATCATAGATAGTGGAGCTTCTAGTCATGTTTGCTCTGACTTGGCATTGTTTTCTGATATTCGATCTGTGTCTAATGTCACAGTGACTTTACCTAATGCTAGTCAAGTACCTATTTTACATACTGGCACCATTCGTATAACTGATAGATTAGTTTTGTTCAATGTGTTGCATGTTCCAGACTTTCATTTTAATCTGATAAGTGTTAGTTGTTTGGTTTCTGACCAGTCTTGTGCCGCTCATTTCTTTTCTACTGGTTGTTGGATTCAGGAATTTATTCAGGGCTTGATGATTGGGAGGGGTAGACTTTGCAATAACTTGTACATTCTAGAGCACCAATCACATTCATCATCTTCTAAAGCTCGTATTGTTTGTGGATCATTCATTGCTGATGGAACTGTGTGGCATCAAAGATTAGGACATCCTTCTTCAAATATACAGCAAAAATTGAGTTCTTTTTCTTCTGTTGTTAAAGTTGTTTCTTCTCATGATCATCATTGTAAAATTTGTCCTCTTGCAAAACAAAAACGATTGGCTTATATTTCAAATAATAAACTTTCATCACATCCTTTTGATCTTGTTCATATGGATATTTGGGGTCCTTTTAGTGTTGAATCAGTTGAAGGTTTCAAATATTTTTTGACTCTTGTAGATGACTGTAGTCGTATGACATGGGTTTATCTGTTGAAGCAAAAGAGTGATGTTTTACAAGTTTTTCCTTCTTTTCTAAAGATGATTCATACACAATTTAACACCAAAATAAAATCAATACGTTCTGATAATGCTCCTGAGCTAGCTTTTGTGGATTTGTTTCGTTTACATGGCATGTTGCATCAATATTCTTGTGCATATACACCACAGCAAAACTCTGTTGTAGAAAGGAAACATCAACATATTCTAAATGTGGCTAGATCCTTATTGTTTCAATCAAACATTCCTCTTGCTTATTGGAGTGATTGTATTTTGACTTCTGTTTTTCTTATCAATAGGATGCCTTCTCCTTTACTTGCTTACAAATCTCCTTTTGAGCTTCTTACTAGTAAAGTACCAGATTATACATCGTTGAAAAGCTTTGGTTGTCTTTGTTATGTCTCGACTCATACTCATGAAAGACATAAATTTTCTCCACGTTCAAAACCTTGTGTGTTTCTTGGGTATTCTCCTGGATACAAAGGTTATAAAGTTTTAGATTTGGAGTCTCATTCAGTTAGCATCTCTAGAAATGTTGTCTTTCAAGAACAGGAGTTTCCTTTCAAAGTTAGTGAACATTTGTCTACTGCTGTTGATATGTTTCCTAACACTATTTTACCAATGCCTCCTCCATCACATTTTGTTGAAACTATGCCTGCATCACATATAGATAATCCATCTGTCATACCTGCTGCATCTCATATAGATACTACGTCTGCATCAACTGCTGTATCTACTGATATGGGTGATTCTAGTCATGAAAGTAGGTCTTCTGTGGCAGTAGAATCTAGGAACTTATCTACTAACAATGCTAGGCCTAGGCGACAGACTAAAGCTCCTACTTATCTTTCTCAATATCATTGTAATCTTGTTCCATTTTCTTCTTTTACTGATCCATCTTTCGTTTCTTCTTTTACAACACCTTATCCTATTTCCTCTGTTATCTCCTATGAGGCTTTTAATCCCATTTTTCAGACTTCTACTATCTCTCACACAATAGAAACAGAACCCAAAACTTTTCAACAAGCTATGACATCAGACAAGTGGACTGGTGCTGTGAATGTGGAGTTTGCTGCTATGGAACAAAACAGAACATGGGATGTTGAATCATTACCTCCGGGGAAGAATGTTGTGGGGTGTAAGTGGATTTTTACTATCAAATATAACGCGGATGGGACTGTGGAACGGTACAAGGCACGTCTGGTTGCTCAGGGTTTTACACAGCAAGAAGGTGTTGACCATATGGATACTTTTTCTCCTGTGGCTAAGCTAACAAGTGTGAAGTTACTTCTCAGTTTAGCTGATGCAAAAGGATGGAGTTTGACTCAGATGGATGTTTCAAATGCTTTTCTTCATGGAGATCTTGAAGAAGAGATATTCATGAGTTTACCACAAGGATATACACCACCATCAGGAGTTACTTTACCTCCTAATCATGTGTGTCGCCTACGGAAATTGTTGTATGGTTTAAAACAGGCATCAAGGCAGTAGTATAAACGGTTTTCCTCTGTTTTGTTGGGAGTTAATTTCATTCAGTCTCCTGCTGATAATACCCTGTTTGTTAAGGCATCATCTACTTCATTTGTGGCTGTTCTAGTCTACGTGGATGATATCTTAATTGCTAGTAATGACTCTGTTGCGGTTGATGAGTTGAAGAGTTTACTGCAATCTGCTTTTAAAATCAAAGACCTTGGACCAGCTCGATTCTTTCTTTATATATATGTACAAGTAAAATCACATAGATATCCAATACATACCAATTTCCATAAAATTTCAATTACCATTTACAAACAATGAGAAACGTTTATCTATTGTTAAAAGTCGTTTTCATAATTTTATCTGTCATTGCGGTGCATCACCTTTCTGTAGCAACCTCCACAACATGGTGCATAGCAAACTCGACGGCGACAGAAACAGAACTAAAAATAAATATATATTTAGGGTGCGAACATAAATTCGTCAATTGTACACCAATCTACCCTGGTGGATCTTGTTTCGGCCCTGATACTCTCCTTAGCCATGCGTCATATGTGATGAATGCTTTTTACCAACGCCATTATCGCGTCAAAGATACGTGTGGTTTCAAAAATACTGGCATAATCACTAGCACTGACCCAAGTTATGGTTCATGTGTGTATTTTGTAACTCAGTAATATACAATTGGTTCTAATAATTGATTCGTTTGAAAAAATAAAAAAAAATCAAAATAATAATAATAATAATAATTGATCCGTAGAAATCTTTGCGTTTCTGTAACATGTGAACAACATAATTATGTAATGCTGCAATAGGTGCTCAAAATTAATATAATTTAATAATAATATTGTATATTGACTAGAACTATTTAAAAATGTTAGTATAATGAAGAAAAACTCTCAACGTTGAAACTATAGTGGAAAAGAATATTAACAACTTAAAAAATACCAGCAAAGAAAAAAAAAATCAATGGTGATCACCCCACATCTCCATGAGATAACTCTTACAACTACTATTGTTGAGAGACCAAGATTCATGATCTAACCATCTTCGTTTCTTCTGAATTATTCGTAATGATTTTTGTTTTTGTTCTTCTTCCTGTTCCTCGTACGAAGATGTCTCCATCTTCTTGAGATTGTGTCTGTATTCAACAACTATTTGTTCAAAAACTTCGACCTCAAACATGTTCATTTTCACCATTGGGTTTATGTGATCCCTCACAAACGCAAATGCCAACTGGTCTCTCGGGTTAAACGCTTCTAACTCGTTGAACATGAAGCATGAGAATAGGTCGCTTCTTATTCCGTGTTTTCTCAGTATCAACGCACTGTCTGGTACATCTACAAATGTCAACATCAAGGCAAATTGTAAATTCGCTGATCACTAAATGTAATATGGCAAATCTGATTTTGTAAGAAGGTGAAGATCCAAAAAATATAAAACTTGTAGAGATAATAGTATTGTCATCTATATATAAGAAAGGGAAATATGCTTAGTCCAACTTCATTTTTATGCATTTAATTGACATATATAAGAAATTTATCTTGGATCGACAAAAACCATAGAACAACTTGCGTTTTGGGGCCCTCACTTCTAACTCTATCTCATATTCTCATTGATGTTGTTATATGGGACCACGTCGAGATTCTTTGATTGCAACTATGATTATGTATTTTTATTTCTGAAGGAACATGTCCAAGCTTCCAACAAACAAGTATAATCTACAACTAGAACTTAAGCAAGAACACATATATTTGTTATCCATTTTAATCTAATTTTTTTATTGTTGTAAACCCTATTATCTTACTATATTCCACAGTGTCTATGATGATCTACATAATAGTATTAATAATTGTCGATTACTAAAAGATCAAGTTATCTCTACAAGTTATGGTTTTCATGATTACCCGTGACTCCATTTTTGAAAAGCCACAAGTAAAAAGAGCATAACCTAACCGACTAAAAGCCAATCTTCATGCATAAGCCATGACTCTTTAGTCTTTATTGCCAAGTAATATATTAGAGTACACACCAACATTCTAGACAAAGAAAGGTATCTGTATTTCTAAAGATGATTACCTTAAGATCATTAACACACTTAAAAGTACTATAACTATATATCATACATAAATCAACATTAGACCAAAATATTATTATTATATATATACACATATATATCAATCATCAAAATATATATGTGAAAGATAATATTAATTTAAATATGATTTTCTATTTGAAAAGTTAATTCATAAAAGAAGTCACTGGGTTTTAATGAAAAGCAACTTAATAAAATACAAAGTTAAAGTCTAAAATCGTACCAACATTAATTTGAAAAATAATTATCAGCATAAGCTTGTACAATTGAGTCCACTATCTAATTATTTATGCATATATACATATGTACGCAATTAATAGTTCGTACTTTGAGATTACTCTATTTTTTTTCTTTGGATAGAACCTTACCTAACCTTCCTAAATACATGTAAGACAACCAATATCTCATTAATTAAACATAAAAAGTTTAAAAGCTTGTTCGTTATAATATAGTGAAGATTTTATTACCTGTGGGATATGGCATTTTATGAGAACTCCAAGGCTTCAAACCATGCTCACAATAAGTCTCCATTTGCATCCTTAGCCCATCGACATCTCCCCATTTCTTCCACCTCGCAGTAGCCATAGCCTCCTCCATCGTATTTACAAAAAACGGATGCTTAGATATCGCCATATCAACATCAGGCACTATTAACATAGAATGAATTAGAAGTAACGGGTCGATCATGAGCTGGATTTTCGCGTCAATCCATATACTGAACTTTGAGTTTGGAAACAATCTATGTATTAGATATTTTGGTATAACCCCGTTCATAGCTGGATTGATGTATAGATTTTCAGACGTTGAGATTTTGATGATTCTCCATGCGCCGACTCTGTAATCTCTTGGATTGTTTTTAGGGATGACATTGTGGTGGAAGAGAGAGTTTAGTGTTTTGTCGTCGATGAACATGTAGAAACAAACTGTTTCTAGGGTTTTAACTCCAAGTCCGACTGGTTGTCTGATTTTGTCATGGTCGTTAAAAATTGCTGATGCAACTACTAGTCCACATTTCTCCATCTCATCTCTATCTACCAAAACCATATAAAAATAGTTAAATTAAAACATATAAAGTAATAAACAAGAGATGTTGTGAGCTTTTCAAAACCGAAAAAGGATATGATTTTAGCATTTTAAATGCATGCTTAAAATGTTAAATACTGTTTTATTTTGACAATTTTAAGTTTTTATTTTATATTTTAAAATTTGAAATCCTATACCAAAATGACCAAAATAACATTTTTATTTCGGAAATTTTAAGTTTATTTTTATTTTTTATATTTGTGACAAAAACTTTTTTGGTTTATGTCAGAGAATTTCTCTTTGAATAAATAAGATAATGAATTATATAATTCATAAACTGGTTACTGGTTTAACCGGTTAATCAATATCTGGTTTACTTAATTAGAAGGATGATATCTCACCGGAGAAGCTGACCGGAAAATCTCTGAAGAAACCACATGGAACTTCAACGTCATTGTCCGAATGGTTAAAATAAGAAAATCTCTTCAGGGTACTAAAGTTTCCACCGAACGTTTCGCTTTTTCCATTAATGTATCTCAACTTCTCCGACGATGATGAGTCGCTGCATATACTCTGTATCTCATTCAACACTGTCCAGTAATCTGATTCACATAAAACAACAAAAACACAATGTCCAAATCGTTACTCATTAAAAACATTAAATACACATCTTAAAGAAAAAACAAAAGAGCATTTTAATGATTTTTCTTTTTTGTTAAGTTAATTACCTGAGAAGAAAACAGGGGAAGAGCAAGAAGATCTGTGAGTGGGGAGAGCGTATTTGTGTTCACCATAAGAAGAAGGATAAGAGAAGATATTTGTTTGGATCGGATCGAAAGGTGAATATCGAAAGACGCATTGGTTTCTTGAGAGAGAGACGTAGAGAAACAGAGAAAGTGTAGTGAATAAGTAGAGAAGTGAGAAACAGAGGAGCTTTGATCGGACGTATAGAGATGGAGATGCGGTGATTCTGATGAATTTTCCCATCCGAAAGAAAGATTTATGGTTTATTGTTTATACATTTTGGTAATTTTTTTGTTTCTTGACATTTAGTGTTGATGATGAAGAAGAAGGAAAGGAGGATCTTTCATTTAAGTTTGTGCTGATGAATCAACTGATAGTTAGAAACTTCAGCAGCTTTTTATGGTGAAGCGTTACTCGAATAAAATCTTATTTTATTATTTAGTAAAGCCGAAAAGCAATTATAAAATAAGTTAAATTCTTGTTTCTATATTTTGCATAGGATTTCTATAAAATTATGATGTAAATTTTGGGAAGCGATTACAAAAATAGAAAGGGATATTATTCAGAGACTCCCTCATGTCCACATGATATCATCAAATTTTCATGGTGTATTTAAGAAAAGGTGCGTAAGAGCACCCACATTGATGAATCCCCCTTGGGTTCACAGCAATAAAAAAAAATATATATTTTTATTATTTTCATTTACTTTTTTTACAAAAAAAAAAAATTAATATTAGACCAATCATATGTTGACACGTGGTGAATCCGGGGTCATCGGGGTTCACCGTGGTGAACTTTTGAGAGAGAGGTTCATAGAAATCTGATTTTAATATTATTATTTTTTCCCCATCAACCCTTGATGGGGTGCTCTAAGAGGTTTACTATTTTCTTTGTTCATATGAAATTCGGTATAAAATTTGAATTCGGTATCCAAAATTCAAACCGAACTTGAACCAAAAAATCTGAACCGTTATACAATCCAAAATGTAAAAAAATACTTGAAGGGATTTTGCATGATGTTATAAAACATAGATTTGATCATCGTTTAAAAAGCGCAGGTACTATTGTTGTTGTTTTATTTATAAATGAATCGATAAGTCTTTTGTTTTGATGGTATACAATTTCACAGAATCAAGATCAAGTTACCATGCAGATATTAAGAAATTTTATTTTACAATATCTCAGATAATTTTTTTTTATGTTTCTAAATATATTAACAATGGCTGTACCTCAAATTTATACTTGAGAAAGATTGTATATTTAACAATTAAATGATCCTTTTTTTTTAGTTTTGTGATTAATTCATAAAATTATTTAGTTACAAAATTTCACTATCTAATATAACTTTTTAAATTAATACAGATTTTAATTTATTATTATCATCAATATCTATGTAAATGTATTGTATATAATTGTGTAGTTTTTTTGGGAAAAATAATATCAATTAACTACGTCTTATGTTGGGAAGCGGGTCAAACTCGCTTCGCCCGACCTGCTTTGCTGTGGATTGAGTTATTTTTACGACTAAAAAATTTGACCCGTCTGACCCGCAAATAAAATATATTTTTGCAAGAAATGTTTTATAAAACTTGAAAGAAATCAAGCCCAGTAATGAAATCCATTATTATATAGTTTTAAGACCCAAATTAAAATGACAAAATTTCCACCAATAATAAATTAAATTTGTATATAAGAATAAGTGTATAATTGAAAAACATAAAAAGTTCATTTAACAGAATGTTTATGTTTTAATGAAATTGATTTGAAGTGTTGTTAAATGATAAATAACTCAAAAAATCTAAAATAATTAATCACTATAAATAAACATATAAGTACTTCAATTACCTAATTCAACATTTTAATTTGATATGATATATAAATATATTAAAATTTAAATTAATATTGTGGATATCCAATTACCTACAAATAAGTACTTTATAATTTGCTCGTGGAAATAACAAGTCTACTCTACTATGGTTGTTTCCATGTAAGATGTTGAAACAACCACTATGCATATAATGCAAAAGCTACGGCCAAATTCCAAGCTTACGTTGGTGGTTCCGCAATTGCTATGTGAACAACTGTACTTTCTTTGTATTAGGCAAAAGTATTCGAGTCGAAATCCACCAAATTGATTGGGTGATTTGTAGTTAAGTGGTAAGGAAAAGAGATTGAGACACTAACATGCTTCAGTTTCGACCCACCTACTATATGAAACTAATTCACAAATATTTCTGGTCACCTAACAAGAATATAAGTTCAGCTTTCGAGCCTATTTGAATATCCGAAGAGAAAGTCTATATATGGGTTGTACATCTCTTTAGCGATTAGTCGGAGCTTCTACTAGGTTAATAAGGTCTAATGCATGTTTCTCTCTTCAACTTAGATATGAATCCACAAACTGACAGATTTATTTAAACTTTTTTTAGTACGAGAGCTTGATTATGAACAAGGAAAATTGGACCGAGTAGCTAAGAAAAAAAACAAAATTAAAAATTTAACCAAAACCCCCTTCTCTCTCCTATTACCTCTTCCTATCTCTCTCTACTCTCTGTCTGCAAATCTAATTTTCTTTTCTTTTGTGGCTATTTGGCCAATAAGCCCTATGAACAACTGGTTTTCCGGCGTATATGTGGAGACATTTGGAAATGAAAGTACAATTTCCACAATTCCACTTAATAGAACTGAATTCTCAGTTATATATAAACACTCAATCGTGTGGTTCACATTTTTTTTGACGTCACCATTTATGTTTTGATATCCATGCAGGACCTTTTTTTTTTTTAAATCCGTCTTTAACACTGTTAAGTTTTTATGTCTCTAAAATATGTGACTAAAACCCTAATTTTGGGCATATATATGAAACAAATTACTCTCTAACATTATCATTTTACCATAAATTATTATCACCTTATATTAAAATATTCTATATCTATATTTAAAAAAAAAAAAACTATTTTCTTAATTTTCTCGGTCAAATTTCGCGTAGGTCCGAGAGAAAGAGAGAGAGAGCACAGTCTTTTTTTTTTTTTGTAACAAAAAAAAGGGACATGTCTTCTTCTTCTTCTTGATTTCACCTCCTTCCAACTTTTCATGTCTCTTCCTACCAAACGCTCTTCTTCTTCTTCTTCTGCCGCCACCGACTCTTCTCTCTATTCCCCGCCGATGAAGAAGGCCAAAAACGGCCTCCACACCCCTTCCTCTCACCCTAACGCCTCCGACAAGTTCGGCTTCTCCATGGATGATGATCCATCTCCCCCTGCCGCCGCTAATCTCTCTCGAAAGAAGGCTACACTCCCGCAACCTACTAAGAAGCTCGTCATCAAGCTCAATAGAGGTTTTCGCCCGATTCCCATTTTTCATCCTAATCAGAATTTTCCTAGCTTTCGTCGATCGATCTTAGGGTTTAGGGTTGGACAGTGTGTAAGATTGATTCTAAATGGCTCTCTGCTTAGGCTTCTCGATTTTTAGGGCTCCATAGGCTGGAATGGATGATGAGTGTGTAAATTGATGAAGTCTCTGTGTGGTTTTTGCAATTGAATTATAGTAGAAATTAACCGTAAATTGAGCTTGATTTTGATCTTGATATGGAATTATGGATTATGGATGATGAGTGGTTTAGGGATTTGTGTTATCTATTAAAGTTTCTAATAGTACCAATTTTGTGATATGTGAAGCCAAACCAAGTCTGCCTACAAACTTCGAAGATACTACCTGGCAAAATCTCCAGTCAGCTATTAGAGCTATATTCCTCAAACAGCACTTTTCTTTTAACCTCGAGAGTCTTTACCAGGTTAAAAAAATTTCCATCTTTCTTTTTCTGTTGTGTGTGTGATAATAATGTCTTGCTGATGATGTTGATTTTGTTTGTTAGTCTGTTGATAACCTTTGCTTGCACAAGCTTGAAGGAAAGCTTTACGAACGGATTGAGAAGGAGTGTGAAGAACACATCTCTTCAGCGTTACAGTCTTTAGTTGGCCAAGACACGGATTTGTTTGTTTTCTTGTCGCTTGTTGAGAATTGCTGGCAAGATTTTTGTGACCAGATGCTGATGATTCGGAGTATAGCCTTGTCTTTGGATAGGAAGTATGTGATTCAGAATACAAGTGTACGTTCGTTGTGGGAGATGGGTTTGCAGCTTTTTCGGAAGCATCTTTCTCTGTCCCCTGATGTTGAGCAGAGGACAGTTACTGCTCTATTAAGAATGATTGAAAAGGAAAGGTAATTGTCTTTCAATTATATGTGAAGCAAGGTTTATCTGTCACATTGGGAATTTGTCTTCACGTAGCCTCCCTTTACGTTGTTTGTCTTGTTTCTGAGTGAATTATTGAAATTTGAATTGTCTGTTTACTCTATTCCTCCCGTCTGGCTGTGATAATTAGTTCTAGGTAAAATTTGAAGACAAATGAGCACTATTGTAAGTCCTTTCTTTTATGACATTGGTCATGCAGGTTGGCCGAAGCTGTTAATAGGACATTACTAAGCCATCTTTTAAAGATGTTTACTGCACTTGGAATATATACGGAAAACTTTGAGAAGCAGTTCCTTGAATGCACGTCTGAGTTTTATGCTGCTGAAGGAATGAAATACATGCAGCAGCATGACGTTCCCGAGTACTTGAAGCATGTCGAGGTTCCTTGGATGAATTCATATAATTTCTTCTTGTGATAAGCTCCCGCAAAGGTTATTAGTCGATATGGTCTCTCTAAGGTTTCTACTGGTGATTGGTGCAGGAAAGGTTGCATGAAGAGAATGAAAGATGCATATTGTACATTGATGCATCAACCAGGAAACCTTTAATATCGGCTGTTGAAAAGCAACTTCTCGAGCGTCATATACATGCTGTCCTTGATAAGGTTTAATTCCTTTCATCCTTGTGTATATTAGCAACCTTTTTGTTTTCTCGACGCTTATTCTATGTCTGCACATAAGCCAGGGTTTCACACCCTTGATGGATGGACGTCGTATTGGGGACCTCCAGAGGATGTACACCCTGTTTTCTAGGGTCGATGCACTTGAGTCTCTGAGGCAGGCGCTAAGTTCCTACATTCGGAAAACTGGGCAGAAGATTGTTATGGATGAAGAGAATGATAAGGATATGGTACAATCACTATTGGACTTCAAGGCTTCTCTTGACACAGTATGGGAAGAGAGCTTTTGCAAAATTGAATCATTTGGCAACACCATCAAAGATTCGTTTGAGCATCTGATAAATCTTCGCCAGGTATTGAATAGTTGTAATG